AAAAAAAAAAAAAATTAAAAAAAAAAAGCTATCTTTAACTAAAAAATTTTGAATCATCAAATTAATGAAAAAAAGATTTCATTTTTACTTCTTTTCATGAGTTTAGGTCTTAATAATAATCTGAAGAAAAGCCATATAACTAACAACCAAAACATGATGAAAATGAGATTAGATATATTAATAAAGTATTATTTTTTTGTCTTATCTTTATGAATTTATAATATGTAAATAATAATAATAGTTATAATAAGCATATATACATACCTAGTGCTACCAAATTCATAAAGCTTTCCCCTGCTAGAGAAGATGATTAGGGCAACCTCAGCATCACAAAGTACTGATAATTCGTAAGCTTTTTTCAGCAGCCCATTTCTTCAATCAGTGCAACAATTACATTGTTACCAAACATCTTTTGAGTTAATTACAACTTTAAAGGGAAAACAAACAATATGGGTTCAGATGCAGAAACTGATGTTCCAGCAAAGGTACGAATTAGAACAGATGTTCCAACTTTAAAGGAGTGTTAAAGAAACCAGCAAACACTGATGTTCCAACTTTAGGATGTTCCAGAAACTGGTTCGGAAAACAAACCAGCAAACACTGATGTTCCAACTTTAAAGGGAAAACAAAGGAAAAAATGCAATCATATATATTATGGGAGTCTACTGTCACATATATATACCACGGATTAATTACAAAATTTGATGCAGAAATTAGTACATTCATGAAAGAAAACGGAACAAAAAATCAACTGCGAGTTCAGATGAGGAGAAATCGAAATCAACTGAATCCGACAACGGCACAAAAAATCGATGAAAGAAAAAAAAAAATTTGATGCAGAAACTACTACATTCATGACCTCGGATTTGGGTTGGGGTATTTCTTCTCGGGATCTGTCGACCAAGGACAAGCGCACCTGCGAGTTCAGAAGAGGAGAAATTACAAGAAACACGAAGAAATCAAATCAAATTCGACGGAGAAGATGAAGATAGGGCATACGGACGAGCTGCTAGGGTTATCGAGCTTGAGCAGATTGCTGCTCTTAATCGTGAAGTTTTAGGTTTTATAATTACTAGATCTGTAAATTTGATGACATTGAGGGGTATAATGGACAATTTGTTGCCTTTATTTTGGACAAAATTGGAATATACAAGGGAAGATTAAAAAATCCGACCAACTTCAGCGGATTTTATTAACCTGACACGTCATATTATTATCCTCGGACCCACCTGCCAGCTAATCTACACATCATTTTTTTCCTATCATTAACCTGCCTAGTAAACAAAAGATTAGGTCGGTTAACTGACCTAATCCAATCCTGTCCTTGCTAGTAAACACGGCCTTGACATATTTTCTATTACAAGCAAACTATGTCAAGCATTGGCCATTGAGGCTTGTGATCTCATCCAACTTATTGCTGAAATTGAAAATGTTCATGAGCAGCAAAAGAAAGCTTTTGAATTAAAGGGAAAAAAGCTCGACCCCAATACAAAAATTATGTAAAAATAAATCATTATATGTCTTTGAAAATAATGATTTGTGGTAATGGAAATTCTGTTGGTAGGAAAACTACAAATGTTGTATATAAAAAAGTGTTTAATAATATTTAATTTTTCCTTATTAAAATATTTTTTTCCAATGATTATGTTATGATTTTTTATATTGTTTTTTTTTCCTCTATCATATTGGGTTTCATGCAAACGCACGAGATAAAAACTAGTACATATATTATATATTAGAAAATTGTTAATGGAACCACTCCATATATCTAATGGTCTACATCAAAACCAAAAGATCTAATGCCTTATATTGAACTCTCAACCATAGTTCTGAAACTGGACCGGATCAGCCGTTTCAAACGGTTGGACCGGGAACCGCCCTTCATTCCGATCCGGTTTGATCCATCAAACCGCCCCAACGATTGAATCGGTCAAAAATCGTTCGAACCAGTTGAACCGGTGAACTGGGACCCATTCGAATGGCTCAACGGTTCAAGTTATTGAATTTGAAATTGGTAGATTGTGAGGTGGTTTAAATAGCACACATTTTTTACTTTTGTTTTTAGCGTGGGATATGTTCTCTTGCTAAAACTATTGAGCCAATATTAGACTTTATAAGAAATATTGAACTCAATTAGAAAAATGTAGTATTTTTTAAGTTAGTCAATCTATTGAGCTATATTTCCAATTTATTATAAAATAAAGAAGAAAATTATTGTTATTTGTTATGTACATTATTTTTATTTTTTAATTTTTTAAAAAAATAATAAAAAAATTAAAATGTGATTTAAAGTGAAATTAGGGTTGTTTTTATTCTCTCTATTTTGTAACTTAAATATATTTTAAAATTTTAATATAAAAATAAAACAAAAAAATATTTTAAACATTAATCAACATCGTCGGTAGGGATGGCAATGGGTGACAAACCCGCTCGGGGGACCCCCCCGTCACCCGCCCCCATTAGGGAAAATACCCCCGTCACCCGCCCCATCACCCGTCTCGGGTCCAGATTTTCCCCAGACCCGGCACCCGTGTGGGTGATGGGTACCCGTCGGGTGACACAG